CAGCCCTGTGGCATGGAGGCTAAAATTCTCCCCAAGTACCTTCATAAGAAAGTACAAAACATCCCTTTGAAAATGCCCAGGACCCTGAAAACCTTGGGAGGAGCCGATCAGAGGGCTCTGTACCCAGGAGAGATCAGGGGCCTACTACAATGGAGCCCAGAAGCAACAGATACGATGAGTCCAACCTGCAATTGAATGAGAATTCCCTCTATCACCACTCGCCTTTCCCAATCCCTCCGAATTCTAGCGCTCGATTATTCTCTATTTATCATATATATTTATATATTTATATATATATAATGTTCACTGAGTTGATAATATAAACCTATATTTAATGTTATATATACTTTCTATATTATATAATATAAAAGATTATATACTTATATAATATAAATATACTTATATAACAACATAAAATATACTATACTTGTAAAATATATTATATTTATATAATATAAAATATACTATATTGTGCTTATATAATGTAAATATACTTATATAATATAAAATATTTTATATAATATAAAAAATATAACAGTTGTGATATACAAATAGTTGTCTGTATGTTGTCTCCCCATTAGACTGTGAATATTTTGAGGGAATGGGCTGTCTTTGTATCCCCAGCACAATGCCTGGTGCTTAATAAATGCTTACTGACTGGAGCCCTTAGCATCATGTCTCCAGGGGCAGCCCGTGCCCGCTGTTGCACCCTTAATATTAGGAAGCTGTCTTGCCATCCAGTCTAAGTCACATTGCCCCTGGTGCTATTGCGTGGTGCCAAGCAAAACAGGGTTAATCCCTCTTCTACTCAAGTCAAGAAACATTTGTTGAGGCTTACAATGTGCCAGGCACATTAAACTCTGGGAATACAAATACAAGCAAAAAAGAAAGAGAATCCCTGTCCTCCAGGGGTTTATAGTCTAACTGGGGAAGACAACCCATGGGGGAAGAGGAGAAGGTGCCCATAGTATAGACAGTCAGAAAGAGAGGAGGGAAGGATGTTTGTCCTGATAGGTGCTATTATAATTATCATCCCCATTTTGCGGTTGAGGAGAAGCTAAGTGACTTGCCCAGGGTCACACGGCTAGTCAGTGTCTGAGGCTGGATTTGAACTAAGGTCTTCCTGATTCCAGGCCCCCTTCCTCAAAATGGGAGTTTTAGGAGGAGATAACCAATGGGAAGAGGGGGCCACAGGAGAAAGGGATTCATGATAATTTTCCATGAATGAATCAACAAATGAATGATTGAATGAACGAATGAATGGAAAATGGGTTTACTACGTGTCAGAAAAATGTTAGATAGTCCCTGCTCTCAAAGAGCTCACATTCTAACTATGGGAGACAAAAGGTAAAAACAAACTGAGCTGCAAGACCCCCTGGTCAGGCCTCAGTCAACTTGTCTGCCACTTAGGGTTACCGGGACTTGCTTTGGCCATGGAGATGGTAAATGACTTCCTCAGGATCAGCCAAAAATGTCAAAGGCAGGACTCGATAACAGGTCTTCCTGGCTCCAATGCTTCTCTAAAGAGAGAGTATGAAGGGGAATAAATACATACACACACACTGTGTGTGTGTGTGTGTGTGTGTATGTGTGTGCGTGCATGTGTGTGTGTGTGCATATTTGAATAGGGCCTATGATTTCACTGGGCTTCAAACTCTAGGTGAGGAATCCAGGGCAGGTTAACATCTGCTCTACAATTTGTAGGTATATACAGTGCCCTGGGGCACTAGCAAGTTAAGCAATTTGTCCAGGCTCACACAGCCAGGATGTATGTCAGTGGAATCCAGGTCTTAGTAATGGCACAGACAGCTTTCTAGCTCCTATGTAACCCTGCCCTCTTGCAATAATGTAATAACAGCATATAATGTTGTTATTGTTCAGTTGTTTTCAATTGTGAACTACTCTCTGTGACCCCATTTGGAGTTTTCTTGGCAGAGATGCTGGAGTGGTTTGTCATTTTCTTCTCCAGCTCATTTGACAGATCAGGAAACTGAGGCAAACAGGTTTAAGTGACTTGCCCAGGATCACACAGCTAGTAAGTGTCTGAGACCAAATATGAACTTAGGTCTTCCTAACTCCAGGCCTAATGCTTTATCCACTGTTTCACCTAGCTTCCCCAGCATATAATACAGGGTTTCTTAATTTTTCTGTGTATCCTGGGCCCCTTTGGCAGTCTGGGAAAGTCTATGGACCCCTTCTCAGAAGACTTTTAAATGAATAAAATAACACACATAAGATTACAAAGGAAACTATAAATTACATTTGAATACAGTTATCAAGATATTTAAAATAAGAAGTTCATGGACCCAAGGTAATGAACCCTTGCGCATATTATAATTATACTAATGTGTATTGCAATACTCTAATACTTATAAGTTATGCATAACATATACTTAAGTATATATGCATAGTTTTCCTTTAGTGCCATACACACATATACACACACACACATACACATACATATATACACACATTCACACACAAACACACAT